ACCATGTGATGTATGACCTTGTGGGTCACAGAAGACCATTAATGCTTGAGTGTAAGCCACTTTTCTAGAACATAGACATTCTCAGTTTACTGCAATGCTCTCCTCACACTGTTTATCTTTTTGTCTGTAAGCTGTAGAAAAGTCACCAAGGAGCAACGGATCTCATGGTCATGAGGACTGAGCCAAGCACAAGCTTGGCATTCTCTGCTCCTTACCACAAAAATGAGTTATCCAAATTCCAACAGTTTAATCAAAATTTCAAAATGGATTAATCAGATTTAGTCATATAAATGTAACACAATTCTTTTAGTGCTTCTCAAACTTTAATGTATGTAGGAATCACCTGGGGACCTGATCCTGATTCAGCAGGCTTGGGGCAGGGTCTGAGATCTGGAATTTCTAACAAGCACCCCAGTCAATGTGGATATCTCCGGTCCACAAATAACAAGTGAGAACTACTTCTCATGATTTTCCCTCTCAAAGCACATTTGGCAATGTCTGATCATCACAACTGAGAGGGGAATACTGGAATGGGGCCAGAATGCTGCCGAACATCTTACAGTACACAGGACAGGCTCCCGTGACAGAGACTGATCTGACCCCAAATATCAGTGGTGCTGAGACTGAGGAATCTTGGTTTAAAAAAGAAACAGAGCTCACGAGATTCAAGTATCTTTCTGTATCATTTCCTTGCAAACTAACTTTAAACTTATGCCTTGATCTTAATGAAACTGCTAATTTTAACCAGAACTTGTATCAAACCCTAAATAGCTTTGGATACTCCCCACTGCCCCAACCTATTTATATATGTTGTTGTTAGACTCATAGTGACACTGTAAAGGGTTTCTGGGTCCTTTAAGTCCCATATCTTTGTTTCTATGTATTCTCTACCTCTGCTTACATTTCAATTTCTACATTCCCTTCTGAGAATGTAAGGCAGGAAAGTGGTTGTGGTTAGACTGGAGAAAAAAGAAGATAAACTTCAGTGCCTCTCCTGTTGGGGTTTCAATCCCAGCCTCTCTTCAGGTCAAACATAGGAGGTGTGTGCCTTTACTCTTTAAAGAGCCCTCAGTGTTCCTGTTGGGGCATTTCCAGTTGAAGCTGAATATAACATAACACGCACTCAGCACTTGTTTAATCCATTAGTTCTATGCTTGCTGTTGTTGTTAAGTGCCATTGAGTCAGTTCTGACTCATAGCAGCCTTGTATAGGGTTTCCAAGAAGTGGTCGGTGAGTTTGAATCGTCAACCTGTGGTTCAAAATGACCTTGCGGTTCAATGCTTTATCCCATAGCCGCTACAAAATGTTCAGTAACTACTATTTAATAAATTGACTCAATCAATCAGTGGATACTCATTGAGAATTTACTGTATGAATGTGGGCATATCTCTGAGAATTTAAAACCAGAAAATGGCCTTGTCTTCAAAGAACTTCAGTCTAGTGGGGAGGCAAATAACAAAGGAACAATCAAGTAAGATAATCAGAGTGTAAAGTGTCACCAAAGAAGCAATCAAGTTGCTCCAATAGTGAATGAAAGGGCTGCGGAGGAAGCACATAGAGAAATTTGACTTATATTTGAGGAAAGAAAACTCTGAGAAGGAGATAGTTTTATTACAAACTAAACGATGAAACAGACAAGGGCATCTCAGGCTGAGGGAATGCACGTACGAGAGATGAGAAGAACCAAAGTCTGTGTCCTAGGCTAAGTAGAGAAGATGGTTTAAAGAGGGAAGGGACCTGTACAATTCAGGTTATAAGAAGATGACTTTGGTTGTTGTGTGGAGATAGTTTGGTGAAGTGGGGCATGGGGTAGGTGGGGGAGGGAACAAGAGAGGAACCAGAGTCTGCAGCATTTTATGTAGAGCATTCCTCACAGGGCACAGTATGTTTCTCAAACACAAGAATTCTTCAATAAATGAAGATGATTGATTCAATTAAATGCCTAATGCAATCATTTATTTTTGAGACAAAGTTTAATGAAATAACTAGTCTCATTACAGTATAAAAAATATTTATTATGACACAGTGAGCCCCTTACAGATAGCATTGGAGTCCTGTTGTAGCATTGTGGTTAACGTGCTGGACTGCAAAGTTGGCTTGAATTACAAAGTTGGAAGTTCAAGCTCACCAGCTGCTCCTTGGAAACCCTATACAGGATCACTATGGGTTGGAACCGACTCAATTGCACTTAACAACAACAACAGATAATATACATGGTATAAAATTATATACAGATATGTACTTATCCTTTTCTGTGGAGTCCTGGTGTGGGGCCATAGGATAAATACTCAATCGCTAGTTTGATTTGAACTGCAAAGTGGGCAGTTGGAACTCACCAGCCGCTCCTTACAGATACTATATTGGAAACACTATACAGGGTGGCTATGAGTTGGAAGTGACTCAACAACACTTAACAACAACGACAACCACTTCTGTAGTTATGAGTACACTGTCACTCAGACGGTGATTATAAAGTTTACCTTATTTGATGATATTTTTATTATTTTCATTTTTAAGAGCACTAGTGAGGAAGGGAGAAAAGGGAGTCCATAAATCAGGATTAAACACGGGCCACTTATTGTGAGGTTGGCCCAGGACTGGGCAGTGTTTCGTTCTGTTGAGCACAAGGTTGCTATTAGTTGGTACCGACTCGATGGCACCTAACAACAACAACAACAACTTATTGACTAAAGTCTTATGACTAAAAACCTTGAGGAGTGTTGAGGGCTGTGCGCCTCTGTACTCAAGGCTTTGTGAAAATGTGTTGGGAATGCCTACTAGCCTAGCTGAGCAGCCATGCCCCAAGCTTGAAGACAAGGCCATTGTCTGGTTCTGAAGTCTCAAATATATACCCACATTGATACAGTAAATTTTCAATAAGTATCCACTGATTAGTTGAGACAACTTATTAAATAACACAGTTGCTGAAGGCCTATTACTTCCTTGAAAGTGTCTTTCCGGAGTGACCCATGTAGACCAGTTTCTAGAGCATGTGCAGTACCTCCAGCCCCTGACTGCCACAGGACCTTCCACTACATGAAGTGAAGTACCTAGGGGTCAGCCTAGGATTTGAACCAAAGCCCTGAGATAGAAGATATGGGTGTCACCCCAGATGCCTTCCTGGCCAACTCAGCTTGAACAGAACCAACTCCATTTTCAATTCTTACTGTGCATGCACCTCATTATCCTAGTCCTGTCACCTCCTCATCCTTTCCCAAAGAATCATGAATAAACATGAGAGAGTCTTTCCACACCCAAGAATCCTTTAAGATCCTGACCAGATAAAGGCTTTGGGAAGCAGGGGTTAGCATTGCCTCTTGTCATCTTTTCTGACCAGATCTTACCCGCGTGATAAATCTTTAAATCTTTGCTCTTGTGAAACTCTGTCTTACCTTGGATCATTCTTGGTCAGCAAAAGCCAAGGACCCTCCATTGCAGGGTTGGGGCCCCCTAATCCCAAATAACACTTTTTGGTTGCTTCTGGGAGGCAATATGGCACACAGGTCCTTTTGAGGTGATAGAAATGTTGTATATCTTGATGGTGGTTACACAGGCATATACAATGTTCAAATTCAAGTCATATACTTAAAATCTGTGCATTTTATTATATGTAAATTACTCAATTAAAAAAGTAGTTAAAACAAACATAGTTGTGGAACTGCATTTTAAAGATTGGAATACAACTTAAGAATGAAACAGCTTGAAGTTTAACATCTGGTTTTATGTATATATCCTTTGGAGTAAACAAATTGTACTCCAAAACACACTAAAAACCAACCAAAATAATCATAGACTCCTGGTGTCATGCTGGACTGCGAGCCATAAGTTTGGCATTTCAAACCCACTAGCTGCTCTTCAGAAACCCTATACATAGTCACTAAGAGTCAGAACCGACTCAGAGGAACTTAACAACAACAACTATATAAAATGAAAATACATTATGAAGAGGCTTAAAAATAACCCTTAGAAAAAGAAGTTCCACTTGAAACATTAACATAATCATATGCTCTTAAGTACTACAGCAAAAATTAATGTTTTAATTTTAATTCAAACAAACACAAACATAGAACACTTTGGAGCTAGTAGTATTGGTTTAAGTCTCCTTCTTATATGAAGATCAATTATTAACATAGGTAAGTTTAGAGAGAGAAAATGTACATGTAAGCGTTTGTGGTTGTTATTAGGGGCCATTGAGTCAGATATCCTCACAACTGTTGTTAAGCTTGACCCCACTGCTGCTGCCATTGTGTCAATCCATCTCACTGGGGGTCTTCCACTTTTTTGCTGATTCTCCATTTTATCAAGCATGATGCCCTTCTCTAGGGACTGGTCCCTCCTGAAAACATGTTTGAGACACAAGGTCTCAAAGTATGAGATACGAGGTCCACCATTCTGGCTTCTGAGGAGCATTTTGGTTGCTACTTCTTCCAACACAGACTTGCTTACTCTTTGGACAGTCCATAGTATTTTCAATATTCTCCTCCGACACCATAATTCAAATACATCAATTCTTCTACAGTCTTCCTTATTAATGTCCAACTTTCACATGCCTATGAGGCAGTGGAAAATACCACGATTTAAGTCAGGTGCACCTTAGTTCTCAAATTGATATCTCTGCTCTTGATCTCTTAAAAGCAGTCCTTTGTAGCAAATTTGCATCTTCAATACATCTAGTGATTTCTTGACTGTGGCTTCCATTAGTGTTGATAGTGGATCCAAGCAAAATAAAGTTTTTGACAACTTAAATCTTTTATCCATTTATCATGATATTTATTGGTTTACTTGTGGGGATTTAGTTGTTTTACACTGAGGCGTAATCCATATTAAAGGCTGCAGTTTTTAATCAGAAAATAGTTTAAGTACTCTTTGCTTTCAGCATATTATATACTGAATCTTCCTTCAAGCCTGATGCCACGTTCTTCTTCATATAATGCAGCTTCTCAAATTATTTGCTCAATATACAGACTGAATAAGTATGGTGAAAGGATACAATCCTAGCACACACCTTTCCTGATTTTAACCCATTCAGAATCCCTTTGTTGTTTTAACAACTGCCTCGTGGCTTACCTACAGGTTCCTTACAATTAAGTGTTCTGGAATAGCCATTCTCCACAATGTTACCCATATCCAGCTGAAAACATTTGCACAGTCAGTAAAGCACAAGTAAAGTACTTTCTGGTACTCTCTGCTTTCAGCCAAGATCTATCTGACATCAGCAATGATATCCCTGGTTTCATGCCCTCTTCTGAATCCAACTTGAATTTCTGGCCATTCTCTGTCTATGGACTGTTGTAACCGTTTTGTAATTATCTTCAGCAATATATTACTTTCTGTGATATTAAAGATATTGTTCAATGATTTCCGCATTCTGTTGGGTCACCTCTCTTTGGAATGAACACAAGCATGAATCTCTTCCAATCGGCTGGCTAGGTAGCAGTCTTGCAAATTTCTTAGCATAGATGAGTGACCACCTCCAGTGGCTGCATCAGTTTGTTGAAAGATTTCAATGTGTATTTTGTCAATTTCTAGAGTCTTGTTTTTTGCTAATGCCTTCAGTGCAGCTTGGACTTCTTCCTTCAGTGCCACTGGTTTTTGATTATATGCTGCCTCCTGAAATGGTTGAGCATAGATCATTTCTTTTTGTCATAATGGCTCTGTGTAGTCCTTCCATCTTCTTCTGATGCTTTCTGTATCATTCAATATTTGCCCATAGAATCCTTCAATATTGCAAGTGGACACTTGAACATTTTTTTCAGTTCTTTCAGCTTGAAAAATGCTGTGTTTCTCCCTTTTGGTTTTATAACTGCAGATCTTTGCACATTATAATATTTGGCTTTGTCTTCTCAAGCTGTCCTTTGAAAATTTCTGTTCAGCTCTTTTACTTCATCATTTCTTCCAGTTGCTTTAGCTTCTCGACACTCAAGAGCAAGTTTCCAAGTCTCTTCCGACATCCATTTTGGTCTTTTCTTTCCTTTCTTTTAAATGACCTTCGCTTTCTTCATGCAGGATGCTCTTAATGCCATTCCACAACAATTCTGTTTTTCAGTCTTTAGTATCGGATGTATCAAATCTGTTCTTCAGATGATCTCTAAATTCAGGTGGGATATATTCAAGGAAATACTTTGATTCTATAGGCCTAGCTTTAGTTTTCTCCAGCTTCAGCCTGAACTTGCATATAACCAACTGATGATCTGTTCCACAGTCTGCCCATGACCTTGTTTTGCCTGATGATTTTGACTTCTACCATCTTTTCTCACAGATGTAGTCACTTTGATTCCTGTGTATTCCATCTGATGACGTCCATGTGTACAGTCGCCTTTTATGCTGTTTACAAAAGGTATGTGCAATGAATAAGTCAGTCTTGCAAAACTGTCATGCAATCTTCAGAATAATTTCTATTACCAAGGCCATATTTTCCAATTACTGATCCTTTCTCTTTGTTTCCAACCTTTGCATTCTAATCACCAGTAATTATCAATATATCTTGATTGCATGCTTGATCAATTTCAGACTTAAGAAATTGGTGGTAGTGGTGGTGGTTATGTGCCGTGGAGTCAGAACTGACTCATAGCGACCCTGTACAGGGTTTCCGAGGCTGTAAATCTTTACGGGAGCAGAAAACCTCATCTTTATCCTGAGGAACAGCTGGTAATTTTGAACTGCTGACCTTAAGGTTTGTAGCCTGATTCATAACCACTATGCTACCACAGCTCCTTAAGAAATTGGTAGAATTCTTCAATTTCATTGATACTTATTTTGTGGTTGGTGCATAAGTTTGAATAATAGGGATACAAATTGGTCTTCCTTGTGGTGGTTGTTATGTGCTGTAGAGTCAGCTCCAACTCATAGCGATGCTGTATAGAGTTTCCGAGGCTGAATCTTTATGGGTGCAGAAAGTCTCATCTTTCTCCTGCGGAGCAGTTGGTAGATTCAAACTGCCAACCTTGTAGTCAAGCAGCCCACTTGTAACCCACTATACTACCAGAGTTCTGGTATGGCACTGTGGGTTAATGTGCTAGACTGCAAAGTCATTTTACCCACAATGTCGGTGGTTCAAGCTCACCAGCCCCTCCTCAGAAACCCTATACAGGGTTGCTATGGATTGGAACTGACTTGACACACTTGACAAAAACAACTACATACTACCAGAGTTCCTTGGTCTTCCTAGTAGGCTTATGGCTATTATCCTATCACATTGTACTTCAAGACTGACTTTGGTGCAATACCATTTGTCTTGAATTTGTAGTTCCAGAATACTAAACCATATGACTGTCAGATTCAAAATAGCCAATACCAGTTCATTTCAGTTCAGTTATGCCTAGGATACAGATCTTTGTGCATTCCATTTCATTTTTGACTACTCCTAATTTTTCTATATTCATAATTCATACATACCATGCTCTGATTATTAATGCATGTTTGCAGCTGTTTCTCCTTATTTTGAGTTGTGCCCCATCAGCAAACGAAGGTCCCCAAAGCTTTACTCCATTCACATCACTAATGTCAACTGTACTTAAGTTGGGAGGATTTGAGTAGCTGGTGAAGTTACCATTTCCTCACTGCTAAACTATCCACTACGCCCTCCAAATCCAAGACTACTGGGGTTAGTGCTCTGTTGTTTTCAGTAGTGCTGAGAGAACCCACAAACCTCAAATCATTACTTTCTGGTTTTCTACAGAACCTCTACAAGAATAACTAATCACTGCTCTTTAAGAATTGCCCGCTCACCATTCCCTCCAGTTGCTAATGACAGATGATGGAGACAGTCAATTTCCCATCTGAAATGTCAGAATGGTAACAACACAAGTACTTGGTCCAGAAAGGTCTATGACTTTGGATCAGCAACACGACACAAGACTAGAGTAAGTCACGGAGGGAGGGTAGCTTAAGACGTCTTTAGCGAAAGGACATGCATGGAGGGTGGTCTCAGTCACTCTCGAGGCTTACCAGCACAGTGATTCCTTGCTCTTTGCACAGCATGGCTGCTGCTCCCAAAAGAATACTCAGCAGTACCCAGAAGGTAGAAGAATGCATTCCCTCCTTGCTACCTGCCAAGTAAGAGAAAGGATAGGTGTAAAAGCTACACAACACATTTCAATCTTGTGATCATCAGCAATTAAAATTCGAATCTGCATTTGAATCTAATACCCATAACTGAAAAAACAGAACTTGATTTGCTGACAGTGTTTCTCTAATGGGGGCATGTGTCAGATCTCTCTCTACACTTGAGGTTAGACAATCCCCTCTACCTGGTAGGCACTTCCTCAGTCAAGGTTCAGCCTTTAGTCACAAACATGCCTCCACATGAGAGCCTTCAGGGGGTTAGTTCCTTCTTCCCTTGCCATTCACATAACAGGCTATTCTGACAAGTGGTAAGAACTCTGAGATACCATGCAATCCATCTGGTTTCAAGGTGTCCCTAGCAGTTGCTGCTTTTATCATGATGGTAGAGTCAGGAGTACCTGAGCCAGCTCTGCGAATCTCTCCTAATCTAGGGACAAGAACCTAGGCTCTCAGATGATCAGGATAACTTCAGAGATGTAGGAGTTTCTGGAAGGCACAGACGGTTAAAGTGCTCAGCTACTAAACTAGGGGTGGGGAACATCTGGCCTGAAATGATTTGGTCTGGTCCTGCCGAGGCAACCACAGTTCCAGCCATCATATTGTTGCTGTTAAGTGCTGTTGAGTCGCTTCCGACCCATAGAGACCCTGCATAGGGTTTCCAAGGAGTGGCTAGTGAGTCTGATCCACCGACTTTGCAGTTCAAACCAACCTTGCAATCCAGTGTTTATCCTACAGTGCCACACCAGGACTCTGCCATCACATTGTTGTTGTTGTTGTTAAGTGCCGTCGAGTCGGTTCCGACCCATAGCGACCCTGTACAGGGTTTCCGAGGGTGTAAATCCTTACGGGAGTAGAAAGCCTCATCTTTCTCCCACGGAGCGGCTGGTAGTTTCGAACCGCTGACCTTAAGGTTCGCAGCCCGATTCATAACCACTACGCTACCAGAGCTCCTCTACGCTACCAGAGCTCCTTGCCATCACATTAGGGGTGAGTTAATTACATGTTTGACCAAATATAGCAATTTTCAAGCTGTTAATTTTGTATGGCCCATGAATGATGTTATACATTTTGGCAGAAATAGGTTCCCCACCCCTGTACTAAACCAAAGGTTGGCAGTTTGAACTCACCTGGAGGTGCCTTGGACGACAGGCATGTTCATTTCAGCCACTGAAAACCCTGTGGAGCACAGTTCTACTCTACAATACACAAGGTCTCTTGGAGTCGAAAGTGACTCCACAGCCACATTCTCTGCCCAGATGTGTAAACTCTCCTACCAGTGTGGAATAGTACCCACCTCTCGTAGGATGCACAACAGTGGGCAGGGACAGGGGAAGGCACAGGTCAGGCTGGGCTGCCAATGTGCACAAGGGCTCAAGCAGGAATAGGAAGCCAAAACATCACTAGCAAGGTGACATTTCATAAGAAGCTCAGGGTGAGGGGAAGCCTGTGTAACAACAGATGGCCCCTAACTTGCCTGCTGAGAATGGAGGATCTGGCTAGGTATTGTTTTAGTGAATGGTATTTGCAGTTTATGGGCCCTGGGGGGGTGTTGTTGTTGTTATGTGCCGTGGAGTCAGTTCTGACTCATAGTGACCCTGTACAGGGTTTCTGAGGCTGTAAATCTTTATGGGAGCAGAAAGCCTCATCTTTCTCCGGCGGAACCTTGCGGTTTGCAGCCCGATTCATAACCACTACGCTACCAGAGCTCCTTAGACCGTGTATATTTGGTTTGACAAAAACTTAGCAGTTTAAATCCCCCTGCTACTCTGCATAAGGATGACAGCCTTGGAAACCGTTCCATGGGGCAGTTCTACTCTGTCCCACAGGGCTACTAGAGTCCGAACCCACTGGAAAATAACAGGTTGCTAACGGAAAGATGGCTGGTTCAGCTCTAACCAGTGGCCCCCATGGCAGATCATTGCTGTAGGGTTACAGTCATTAAACACTCTGTGGAGCCTCAACTCTACACACACACACACGATCATCATGGCAACACATTTGGATTTTTAGTGTATGTGCAGTTTGGGGGCTTGAACTAATCCATTTGGGAAGAGAGGAAAGTCCACACAAGCTGCTCATCTCTGTTCTTCCTATGAAAAGCCCTCACCTTGTCATCTATATAAATGGGGCAAAAGTGGGCCTTTTGGGGGAGCCAATCATTAGTTTTCCTGGAGTGCTGATGCATCTTGGCTCAGTTTTGCTAAAACCAGGACTCCTGGTCTGAATTCCAGCTCTGCCATTTACTATGTGACCTTAGCAAGTGACTTCTCTCAGTCTCAACATCCTCATCTACAAAATGGGTAATATTACCTACCTCAGAATATATCTGATGGACAGTGTCATATAAAAAGACCTGCCCATCTGTGATTAAAATATATAAAATATGCTCTTATGAATAGCATATCTCAGAAATACTTATAGACACAAAAAACTGGGTTCAGAACTTTCTGAGCAGTTCTAAGAAGAAAAACTCAGAAGGAGTGGGCAGAACCTTTACTTTTCACTGTTGCTGTTGTTGTAAGTGCTGTTAAGTCAGTTCCAACTCATAGTGACCCTGCATAGGATATCTGAGGTTGAGTATCTTTGTGGGAGCAGAAAGCATCATCTTTCTCCTGGAGAGTGGTTGGTAGGCTTGAAACTCCGGCCTTGTGGCTGGAGTTCAGTGTTTATCAAATGGAGCCACCATGCTCTCTTTTACTGAAAAGCCTTTTAAAAAAAACCACCCAGTTCCACTGAATAGTGAGTGACTCATAATAACTCTAAAAGATAAAGCAGAACAGTCCCATAGGGTTTCAAAAGCTGAAAATATTTATGGAAACACTTCAGTGGAACGGCTGGTAGTTTCGAACTGTCAGCCTTTTGGTGAGCAGCCAAACACTTAACCAAGGGCTCCTTGAATAACCTTTAGTGCCTTCTTAATTTTTAAAATCTATATGCTTGTATTAAAAACCAAAGTGCAAACTAAACATTACAAGAAAGTCACAAGCGATAGTGGTAAGACCAGAGAAAGCACTCAATTCAAGTCGTGTTTGCATAAGGATCCACAAGCCTGCTCAGGTTAGAGAGAGATGGAATTTCCAATAAGATTCTGATGCGTTTAGTCAAGGAGATGACTCATTTAGTCACCTTATCACAAAATGTGCCAAGCACATTATATATTAAAGAAAAATACACCTTGAGTCTTATTAGATAGTTAATAGCTGCTTACTCACAACCTCGCAGTTTATATCGACCTTGAGTTAATGTACTAGATTGCAAGGTCAGTATGAACCGCTCCTCGGATATCCTATAAAGGTCATTCGCTATGGGTGGGAAGTGACTTGATGGCACTTAACAACAACAATCAGAAAACCAACAGCTAAGTGTTTATTGTGTGTCTGTGATGCAAACCTGAATGAAGAGATATTTAAAAATCTTGTGAATACATAAGCATAATTCAGCAAATTCCAAGAATGAAAACTCTAAAAAAGCAGTGTAGTCCCTGGAACAGTCTCTGAGATCCAGGAGGTGGAAGGCTCTCCACCTTGGCACCATTCTACCATTAGGTTGAGACTCCTTTCAAGCTGACCAGAGGCCCCAGTGGCCAGATTAACTCCAGACACCACCCACCACACCTGCACTGACTTGCCCTCAGTTATACACCTAGGCTCAGGGCCTAGTTAGCTTGATGGGAAAATGGCCTTATTCACAAATAAGGCACACAGCAAGAGAGATTTGTAATGTACACAAAAACAATGCACAGGCTAACATTTTTTGACCTTCTCCACTTTTCTTGGAAATTTCTGTATATAAAAAAATACACACAAAAAATGTTTCTAGTTATTATACTTGACACATTTTAAAGCTTTCCACATGGCCAACTGTTCAACCACAATAATGCCTCATTCATGTGAATTTCAACATCTCATAAATACCATGAATTGTTGCTGTTGTTAAATGCCCAACTCACAGCGACCTGTATGGGGTTTCTGAGGAGCAGCTGCTGGGTATGAACCACCAACCATATAGTTTTAAGTATGTGTTCTACATTGCCACAACAGGACCCCCTTTAAAACCTTTCAAATGTGTCTTGTTGTCCACAGAATAAAGGTTACCTTTTGGAGATGACACCTGGGATTCCTGATCATGTAGCAGCATCAATCTCTGTATCCTCTCCTAGTCTGTACTCCAGCCACACTGGTGGCTCAACATCTTTTCTCTTCACATGGCTTTGCTGAATTCCTTTTCCTTCCAGTAGAACACCCCTGGCAAAAGCCTCTCCACCTTGTAAAGCTGTCAAACGGCACTCACTCTCTGAGCCCCACCCTTGACTTCCCAGGCAGATTTTGCTTTCTCAGTCCATGTCCCCTGCACCCCGCCCCGCACCCCCAACTGGGATTCCTGCAGCTCTGATTGCCCCTAACAAGAATGATCGTACTCGCTGCTAGACCCTTAAATTAAGATAGGCCCAACTGGGTGTCCCCCGGTGTGACCCTGCAGGTTAATGCACTGGACTGTAAGGTCCGTTTGAACCACAAGGTCAGTGGTTCAAACTCACCAGCTGCTCCTTGGAAACCCTATACAGGGTCCTTATGAGTTGGAATTGACTGGACAGCACTTAACAACAACAACAATGTCCCCTGGTGGTGGTTGGGTGGGGGACAACCAATCAATACTAGTTGAGAAGCACAACCCTACCCAGTGCTGAGTGTGCTTCATGGCCCTGTCTCTGGGATATAATTAGAAATGAAGGTTTCTAAGTCCCACCTAGACCTGCTGAACCAAACTCATGGGAAGAGTCCAGCAATCAGAGTTTTAACAAGTCCTCCATGTAATTCGGAAACAGCTAAAGGTCTGGATCCCAAACCTTTGTCATTGGGTTGATTCAGACTCACAGTGAACCTATAGGTTTCCAAGACTGTAATCTTTATGGTGTGGCACTGTGGGATAAAGCACTGGACCACAAGGGCAGTTTAAATTACAAGGATAGTGGTTCAAATTCACA